AGACTATAAATACATGTCATTTAAGGGTCGTTTTTAGAGAGAGCCTTTTCATTACTTTTACCAGAAACCCCTTTTTCCTTTTAGCCCGTTTTTTATTGAGATTTTTTGTAGAAGATTGTTCAAGTCCGAGTTCTTCAATAGAGAATCTTTCTTTATCTCTTTTCTTTACTGTTTTTCATTACTTTTATTAAAACCAATGATGATGTCGAACTCAGCCATGTCTGAGTAGATCCCGAGTTGGGCTTAGGGTTCCCGAAAGGGGCTCTCATAATCGATTAAGACATCTAGGTTTATAGATCTGGGATTTCGACATGTTCTCTGTTTATTCTTGTTCTTATTGCATGTATGCTTGATTGATCACCTAGTATCTGATCTAGATAGTTAGTGTTGCGAAAGTTTTCATTAAGTATCAGCCCTAGAATGAAACAGGCGATTTTTCCGTAGGAGTGGAAACCTACCTGCGGCGAGATCGTGAGTATTGACGAGTCTTGTGCAGCTCTTGCGTTCTCTCCCTTCCAGGGCCAGAGTGGAAACCTACTGGTCAGGGTTGCGAGAAACAGTTGGTTATGATCACGACAGTGACGTAGTCATACCGCCATACTCTAGCTCTAGAACCCATATATTGTTATCCATCAATCCCAATCTATCTACCTTAGTGTTAAAACCGATTATGATCCCTTAGAGTTCCCAAAAGCTCAGCGTTTTTAGCCATAGTTTACAATTCCATCGATTTTTACTTGCTTTCTTAGACCTGCATTTCAATTTCCTTAGTTCGTTATTTACTTGCTTTATTTACTTTTCATGCGATATTTTACTTGCCTTATTTTTGTTTAGTTCGATATTTTACTTATTCCATTTGCATTTCATTCGATTTTCTTTACTTGCTTTTTAGGATAGATTTATTTTCTTTCTTTTGCTTTAGTTTAATTCGCAAGAAAAACAACCAACCTTTAAAACCAATTTAGTCTAGACATAAAGTTAAAAACCGTAGAAGAATACCAGACACACAAATCTCTGTGGATTCGATCCCTAAATACTACAACTGATCAGCTTGTGCACTTGCGGCTTTCATTTGTTTTGTTAAGGGTAAAACTTGTTCCCTCACGCAGTTGACACGACATCAACTCTCTTGTTTTATAAGGAGTGTTTATTTGCATTTATTTTCATTTATCCATCATCAGGTGATGAGTATTAGTGAAGACTCTCTTGTTTTATAAGGAGTGTTTACTGTGAAACCAATTTGTTATCTTATTTTCTGACATGTTGCTTAAAACATATGCTTCTTCTAATTGTACAGCACAAATACAACATAGTTGTACTAATTGTCCAGTTATCCCAAAATATTCAAACATATGATTCGTCACTTGTACAGCACAAATGCGACATAGTTGTGCTAGTTGTCCAGTTGTCCCAATTTCAAACATATGCTTCTTCTAATTGTACAACACAAATTCAACATAGTTGTCCCAATTTCAAACATATGCTTCTTCTAATTGTACAGCACAAATGCAACATAGTTTTACTAGTTGTCCAATTGTCCCAATTTCAAACATATGCTTCTTCTAATTGTACAACACAAATACAACATAGTTGTACTTATACTGTTATGTTGTCCAAAATATTTCCAAATGATTTGTCACTTGTACATCACAATTCCAACATAGTTGTACTAATTGTCCAGTTGTCCCTGGGTTACATGATTAGATGAAAAAAACACAGTTGTCCAATTCTTCCTGGGTTACACCTGTTGGTCGTTTGTTCTTGGACTTGACTCTGGGAATAATCACCGTCCCAAGTTAATTCCTGGGTTAGACCTGTTGTTTGCACGCTTTCGGCGAGGTTCTCCGGTGGAGGGAAATCGCTTGTCTTGCTTTCTTCCACGCTTTTTGATGTAGTCTGGTGGGTGCACAATTGACTGTCTTATGTTCTCTGGAACATCCCAACTAGACTCGTGTGGAACCAGATATATGGTTCTGCTATAAGCCAATGACCAAGCCTTTGTCAAGCAGTATTCCGAGCACAGATCAGAGAGTTCTATATCCACAGATCTCCTTTCTTGGCGCATTAGGGCCATGGTCGCTGCTATAGCATGCACGCAAGGAATCTTGTCAATATCAAAACATCTGCAACTACAATTTCTCCTTAACAAATCAACCTGATATCTCTTCCCATCAACTCCAGTGACACTGTATTCGAGTTCACTGCCGTTCAGCTCAGTTACTAGTAGGTGAGTTGCAACTGCACAACGTGTATGTAATTCATTTTCCACATACGGCACCAACTGTTTTCCTAAGCTTGTTGCAGAAACAGTGTCTTTTCTATGCTTATTGAACCACTCAGATAATTTTTCAACATATGCATCAATCAAAGGCAGTAGAGAGTACTTCCTTGCCCTCTTGAATACACTATTCATCGACTCACAAGCATTACTGGTGTCCAAATTGTACTTGTCTCCTTTAAAATAACACCTAGCCCATTTTTCCACAGGAACAGCAGCAAGATACTCGGCGGCTTTAGGAAACCTCCTCCCAAAATCGGTGTATGCGCTGATGAAGTCATACTCGGTATACATATGAGCACAATCTCTAAATCTCGCAGCACAAATATCTTTAAAACCAACAGCAGCTTTACCTCTCACGTTCTGCGACAAATGCCACACGCAATGTCCGTGCTGAGACTTAGGATACACCTCATGAACTGCTTTCAAAATGCTCTTATGCCTATCGCTCATAAAAACCAGCTCTTCATCATCTGGTATGACAGTTTTCAGTGTTTCTAAAAACCAATTCCAACTTCCATCTTTCTCCCTATCAATTACACCCATTGCAATGGGGTAATGATGATGATTAGGGTCTTGAGCTGTAGCAAATACAAGCATACCACCATATATATTTTTCAGAAATGTTGCATCCATGACTATGACTTTTCTCATTGCTCTAAAACCTTCTATACAAGCACCCAAAGCAATGAATAGATATTTGAACTTATTTTCAGCATCCACCTTCACGCATGTAACTGTACCAGGATTTACCCTCTCTAACACGTATAGATAAGAACACAATTTCCTAAAACTTTCTACAGGACTCCCTCTCACTTCACTAACAGCTAGCTTTTTGCCTCTCAATGCAGTAGAGTAAGACACATTTATTCCAGCTTCTACCTGAACAACATTGATAATACTTTTGGGCGCGGGGGTGTCAATCTGACCTGGATATGCATCACGCAAGACGGATGCAACTACTTGTGGAGTACCTTTTCTTCTCTTCCGACTTGTACTCGCGACAACCCTGGAGCAGGTATGAACACTCCTATATACTCTGACACTGAAATATGTGGATTCCTTAATTCTGGCAGCATGTAAATACCATGGACACCCACGATCAGCTTGTTGGCATTTCAGTATCACTCGACCCTGGTCAGACTTCTCGGTTTTTACCCCAAAACACCCTTTATGTGCAGCTTTATCAACCATTACTCTCAATGCCTCCTTCGAACAGAACTGTTGACCTTTTTCAAAACCTGCACCATCATCCCATTCTAGAACAAATTGAGTTTGTTCTTCTTCCCATGGAAGTTAACATGCTCATTCTCATTAAAACCGGTTTCCAAGCCATCTTCATTCCCCATCTGTTTCTCACTATCAGGCTCATTAGTACGCTCATTAGTAGGCATGTTCTCTTGATTTCCTCCTTCCTCAGCCCTGAAAAGAACCATAACACCACCATTCGCTACATTATCCCCATTAGCTACATAATCCTCACATAGCTGATCTCTTTTGTATGTATCCACCTCTTCGATAAGCTCCACATTCAAAACAGATCTCAGACCATCTTTATCAAATGTCATCAGATAAGCATATACATCATCATCACCGAAAATACATGACTCCATTTGAGGCTTAGCTACCAAAGGAATGTAGCTCAATTTCAGATTCGTCGTATTGGAGCTTAGTGCAATCTTCTGGCATATCTTCTCTACAAGAGCTGAATAAGTAATCCCATCCAAAGATAATGTTTTAAATGATATTGCATGTTTTACTGAAATCCATTTAAACTCCTCCTCGTTCCGTGAATAATATCCTCCATACTCAAAATGTATGTTGGTGTGGCCAATGCTCATTATATCCTAGTATACGCAGCAAAAAAAAATCATATTACCAATTACGTTTCTCACAATTATACCTTTTATACTAGTTGTCCCGAATTTCTCACTATAACATTTGTACCAGTTGTCCCACATTATCAGTTTTAACAGAGACTTGTACTAGTTGTCCCATAATATGATAATTCGGAGACTTGTACTAGTTGTCCCATAAGTCGGAGACTTGTACTAGTTGTCCCATATTATTCAGTTCTACCATTTGTACTACTTGTCCCCTATCTTTCACTTATACCTTTTGTACCAGTTATCAAAATTCCCAAACTTTCTTGCCTAAAATCTTTGGTTCCACATCCTCGTTTCACATCTACCAAACAGATTCAACACTAAAAATCGACAAATTAACATCGATTCGAAGAGAACTTAACTAATAAGCAACAAACTTAGGCAATGTACATAGTTAAACAACCACCAAACAAACAAAGAAAACCCCTAATTTATAAATCCCCAAAATACACACCACCATCGAAGTCTTCTCACACAAATGGCGGGATAAGAAAGAGTAGTTAAACAACCAAAAATGAGCCGGCGCCAGCAAACGACGGTGGTTCGAATCAAGCTCTCTGCGGCGGAGGTGTACGGAAAGGAGCTCGGGGAAGAAGAAAGCCACAGATTTTTTTAAAAAAATAAAAAACCCAATTTTATTCTTTAAATTTTTATATTCAGTTCATTAAGGTTAAAAACGTCATTACACTCCTATTTATGGCATTAGATAATGTTATGGCAGGTGAGATTTTTTTTTTTGCGAGTTATGGCATATCAGCTCCGCGCCAAATGCTACAATGCCATAACTCGCATAAAAAAGAGCCCCAATGCCATCGGTGGAATATTCAATTCGTTTTTGATTTTTTTTAAATAGCAAAAAGGTGGTTGTTTACTACCCTATATCCATGAATGTCTCCTTAATTACCAAAAAACCTGGGTATATGAAAACCCACCCAACTTAAATTGGATCCGACCCGCGTATCTTTGGATTTACCCTAATGAAACTTGAATTCTTTGTAAAAAAACCTCCATACAGTTAAGAATTTCGAGAAAAACCGATTGAGTGTTTTCCGGCGTAGAATCCGGCGAGTGTTGATAGAAGTAAACCGATTGCGTTCTTTTTATTTCCACTCCACAATCTACAAATTCCGTTGTAATCGATTTCTCCAACTTCGGTTAAAGTATTTTCCCCATTTTTATATATAAATTTAATTGAAAAATGTAAATTTATTAATTTTAATTAGTTAGTAACATCAAAACGGAACCAAGAAGCAAATAATCTCAATATGAATCAGATTACCCAAAAAACAAATTTAAATTACCCATTTTAGTCATTTGAACATATTTTAATTGTAATTAACAAAAGATATGATGAGAAATTTATTGGTTTCTACATCTGTTTTAGTGTATAAAAATATCATCTTTCATTTATATTTATCATATTTATTCTTATTTTAATCAAATAAAATTAAAGTTTAAAAGGTTAAATTACTTTTATCCTTCCTTACTTTAGCTAAATAAAAATTAAATCCTTAAAGATAAAAAATGGTATAAACATTACATGTAACACTTTTACCATATTAAAATTGATATAACAATTTCTTTCCTACCTTTGCTTCAACATATATAGGGAGAAAAAAACCGATCGATAAACGCAGAATAAGCTATTTGAATACAACGTTATGATACAGAATATTGTTATGGCATTATTGTTCACCATAGGATATATTGTGATCATCTTCGAAGAGTCCTTATCTTTCAATAAAAGTGGAATAGGACTTTTGATTGCCGTGAGTTTGTGGGTTGTGCGAAGCATCGGTGTAAGAAATTCATAGTACAAATGGCTCTTTTACTTAATGTTGTTTTTACCTCAAATATTTGTATGCAGTGAATAAGAATAGCTTGATAGTAATGTGATTCATAACGTTAATAGCATGTTTTACAGGCTCCTTGTCTTGAAATTGTTGTTTTAGAGCTTCAACATGCAACAACTGAAGTTAGTCAAATAGTCTTCTACTTGGTCGGTGCAATGACCATTGTGGAGATTGTTGATGCGCACCAAGGATTTAAGCTGATTACAGATTATATAACAACCCGGAAACCAAAATTACTTTTACTGATGGTTTTGATATTCCATTTCTGATTTTTAAGTTTTTTTTTTTTTTGCTTCTCAGTTGCTCTTCCTCTCGCATTATCTTGACTTTGGCAACTTATGGTTTCGTTTTCAGGTTGGTTTTGCATCATTTTTCCTCAGCTCAGTTCTTGACAACCTAACAACTACTATTGTTATGGTTTCTCTACTGAAAAATCTGGTTCCTCCATCAGAATACCGCAAGTAAGGAAACATAATATTTGTTTGTTTGTATGAATTTTGAGGTTGCGAATTAAATTTGTTTCTATGGTAAATCTCAACGAAACACCAATTCAAAAGATTCTCTATTTTGGTGTAGTTATCTTTTTCCTAATAAAGTATCTTTCTTAATATGGAGCGAGTGATGTGTGCTAACGTTAGTTGATATGTTCAATATAATCTATGACAAGACTTTTAGGAGCAGTTGTGGTTATATCAGCAAATGCAGGAGGAGCTTGGACTCCTATTGGTGATGTTACTACGACTATGTTATGGATACATGGCCATATATCGACATTTTCGACTATAAAGGTTATATTCTTATTCGAAATGTTCAATTAAAGAGCTTGAATTCCATTAGTACTTATGATGGAGCCTTTACCTTCTTCCTTTCAGAATCTTCTATTACCTTCAGCGGTTTCGTTTATCGTTCCACTGGTTCTAATGTCATTGACCAGGTTATATGATAAAGTCTTCTTACACTCTCAGAGGTTTTCAACCTTCTTTTGCCGTTTCCATTGCAAAGGCTGATGTTTTCTTTTTCGTCTTTCTCAGTGAGGTAAATGGAATGAGACTGAATACTCCTCCTAGTCTATTATTAGCTTCTGAGCAGATTGCTCCAAGAGGAAAGCTTGTATTTGGGGTTGGCTTTGGAGCTTTGGTTTTTGTCCCAGTGTTTAAGTCCCTAACCGGGTTGCCTCCTTTCATGGGTGTCATGTTGGGTCTTGGAGTTCTTTGGATTTTGACAGATGCAATCCATTATGGTGGCTCAGAGAGAAAACATCTAAAAGTTCCACGTGCTTTGTCTCGGATTGACACACAAGGAGCTCTGTTTTTCCTTGGGATTCTTTTATCTATCAGCAGGTAACTAAACTCTAGGAAAAACCTAGAAACCTTTTTGGACGTGTGAGAGATTGATAATGTTGTGCCTTTTTTTCAGTCTTGAAGCGGCTGGGATTCTCAGAGAGATTGCAAACTATCTTGATGCTCATATACTCAATGTTGAACTCATTGCAAGTATTGTTGGTTGTGTATCAGCCATCATAGACAATGTCCCATTGGTTGCAGCAACTATGGCGATGTATGATCACTCAACATTCCCTCAAGATTCCGAGTTTTGGCAGCTCATTGCTTTTTGCGCTGGAACTGGTGGTTCCATACTTATCACTGGATCTGCTGCTGGAGTAGCCTTCATGAGTCTGGAGAAAGTCGATTTCTTTTGGTACTTCCGTAAGGTGAGACTGAGATTACTCTTTACTCTTTAGCCCACTTTCAATATAACAAGATCGGTAACAAAATGTATTTTGTATTTTTTTTTTTCATTTTCGTGCAGGTGAGTTGTTTTGCTTTTGTTGGTTATGCTGCTGGTATCGTGACTTACCTCGCGGTCCACAGTTTCCCTCTTCAGCTTCAAACAACTGTACTTCATAGTTCATATCCCTTTGCTGACTGATTCATAGGCTACAAAAATATCAAGAGTTTCAATGTCTATGAATTGGAAATAGAACGTTATGTATAAGAACACATCCATAATATCATGAACGTTATGTATAAGAACACATCCATAATATCATGAAGATGCTCTCATTTGTGCTTAAAAGATTCCTTGAGTCATAAGATATTCCAAGCATCATACAATCATTCAACAAAAAAAAAAATTGACAGACTTAGGCTCCGAATGGTGACCAAATAATCGAGGAGTACACAAGATTTTATAAATAAAAAGTCTTGGCAAAGCTACAAAACTGATACAAACAGAGAGACCAGTATGCATTCATCAAATGTTTTAATATCTATACCCTACATAAAATTATAGATATTAAAGCATTTGTATAAATGGAAATGTAAAGAGAGGAGAATTAAACACAAATCAACTATATAATACATACATAAAATTTAGACGTTGGTAACTTGTAGACAATTGTGAAGAAAATTATTTAATTTTATTTCATTTTGATTTTAGAAAGCTTATCATTAGAATATCAAATTTTTAAAAATCAGATGAGTCACAAGTTTTAGTATTGTTTTCTTAACAGTATTTTCGGGCCGCCCTTGTAATTGTCACTTACGATTGTAAAAGAGAATCTTCGATTTAAAAATAATGGAAGTTTACCTAAAAAATCTGTGACCTCAACGGCTCAACCTCAAGTAAGGTAGGTTCATGTACAAATCTCTTCTAAAGCTATTTGACTATTGAAAGTCAATAAACCATAAGGTCTTTCGTTGGTTTGGTTTTTCATGTTGAGTATGCATGGGTTATTTTATTGTATATTTTCTAGGCTTCTGATTCCGGAAATATCTCTATGTTTTCCGTCAAATTTTCTAATCGAGAATTTCTAATTTTTTTCTACCGGTCTTGTATCCTTTAAAACATTTTAATATATATAGAATTCTCATTAATTATTATCACAAATAAGTTTTTTTTTTTTTTTGCTAAAACACAAATAAAAAACTTTAGTTAAAGTAGTTACAAGTGTGAGGTTTCGACCGCAAAGTCTCCCAAGTCACGACATGATAGAATGAACGGTAGTATGGTATCGTACTGAACAGTATAACTTATTTAATTTTTTTTTTTTTTTTTGTTAAGAGTATGAATTATAAAATTGGCTTAAAGCTAGAACAATAGTCAAAGCTTTTGAGCGGATACATATTAGTTTTATGAAGAAATAATTATTTGATATTGCAGATTATTACCAATCACATTTCAATATGCAGAGTTTATATGCAACTATGCAGTAAATTTAGTGATAAACAAAACATAATTTATTTTACAGATTTGTAATTGAATAATCAAGTTTCTTAATAAAATTTAAAATTGCTTAGTTACATCAGTCCACATTTTCTACAATTTCATTATTGTGCAATATATTATCAAAAAAAAGTTGAAATACTTTATATACTTAGATTATATCATTATCAACGTAACAGTATAATGTCAATTCTCTCTTGGTGCCAAACTCAATACTTTTAGTTTACGTGAACCCAACTATTGATCAATACTTTTGTTTACGTGAATATGATCTCTCGTTGTTGAAATTTAGAGAGGTGGCGGCAAATCAACAGTTCCAAAAGATAAAAAGAAAAAAAAATTATTCATCGACTGATATTTTTTTCTCCTCACACTCATCTTTTCTTAGACACTATAAATACCCCTTTTTCACTATAAATACCCTTAAACCCAATACTATCATGAACATCATACTAACTACATATCGAGATTAATAAATCCGTGTTAACTACTACAAAAATCATTTCATCATAGTGGTGATGGCTAAAAACCGCACCGAGTTCTACATAGCGTTTCTCGTTCTTCTGATAGTGGGATCGGTGTTACTAGCTGTTGAAGGACGACCCGTCAAGTATGGTTCGAGACCGTTGATCCAATCAAGAGATTCACATGTGTCCAATGGAAACGTAATGTCTTCATTTAAACCAGTCAAGTCCTCAGTACAGGATTTGTCGTGGTTAGCCACGGTTAAACAGTCCGGGCCAAGCCCAGGGGTTGGGCATCATCGAGCCAAGGGATACAAGAAGTTTGGACGAGCCAACGACTCTGGTCCTAGTCCTGGTGTTGGACACTAAATTAACAAAACTCATGATTTATAAATTATTTTCTTCAAAAATAATAATAACAGTAATAATTTATCATGTTTTAGTAGCCTCTAAGATGTAATTTTCTTCTATTTTTTTTATGTTTATCTCCTTTTCTTAAAATGCTTACTTTGTCTCCACATAATAATCATTAATCAAGTTTAGATCAAGCGTCAAGATAGGAATTAATTAAACAAGCCGTAAACCTCTCCTTATTTCTTATGGTTCAACAAGTTTTCAGAATTTCTAATTGAAAATTGCTCTTTCAATTCATAAGCGAAGATACTTGACAAAGTGATACCGGCCGTTCTGATAATCTATTTCTATAAAATAAGTTTATTTGAGTTATTGTTTGATAGGAGATCCGTACGGTACATATTTATAGTGGTATAGTTTAATGTTAACATCCGGGAAATGTAAAAAGTTCATATGATCCAATTCTAATACATAAAGAACATAAAAATAATATGGAAATATGCTTGTTCAAGAATATACCATATGGCTAAAGAACATTTTTACCGTTCACACACATTTGAAATTGTTAGATTTCCATAGTTCCATGAATTTGATTTCATGTGTTTGAGTTTATTTGGTCTCCCTAAGATATTATTCTGGTCTCCCATTTATCTCCAAGGCCTTCAAATGATCCAAAATCCGGCAATGAGATGCATCAATGTTCTTAATTATTTATGGGTTTGTCTCTCTCAATATATCAAAAGATCTTCGCTTATCTAGAGCAACACGTTGCCTAGAGGTTCTGAAATTTTGAACACTAAGACACGTAATGAGCTTCGGAAACTAGTCACAAGGGCTGGAGAAAATAGTCAATACCACCATGATGTGAAAAAAAAAAACTTTTAGTAGAAATCATGTAAAGAAAAATGATTCCATTAATATATATTTCAAATTAGGAAACTAGGCTTACACTATCGCATGAAATCTTCATATACTCTCTCTGTTCCACGAGTTTTCTTTTGTAGAGCATTTTTAATCAAGATTGATTTTTTTTTTGAGTTATCTAAAATGACAAAAATATATAGGCCGGAAATTTTGGTATATATATTAAACTAGTTAAAGTTTAATGATTTATAATTCAAGAAATAAATAATTAAATAAATTCATTTTCTTAAGCTAAATAAATTGAATTTTTACTGGTTTAAATAGTTTGCGATATGTATATTTACAAACTAACGCAATACATTACATATCGATTTGCATCTTCTATTGCTTTATTGATATCGCAATGGCATATTGGCTTTGTATACTTGTATCATATATGCATGAATATATGTGGTTATACTTAGCTGGCAGTGTAAGTAGATTTGGACCATTTCGCATGGTTGGCTCTAATCTTTTAAAACAGGGGTTTAGACTTTTGGGTTAAATCATAAAGGCACGCCAAAAGCTCTCTCATGTGTGTTTTAAATTTAATATCGAAAGCTTTTGACCCGAATTTCTTTTCGTAAAGAAACGACAACTAACGTTTCTCGTGATGCATGATTAATTTAAATATCCTATATAGTCTTTGTTTGAACCTATTTTATTCATTGGATTATAATTACAAGATAAACATGCATGCACAAACCTCGTCTTGTTTCATTCATTTTATCACATTAAAACTCAAAAAAAAAAAAAAACCTGGAACTCATCCGACAGTGGCAGTAATTGTTAGGAATTTTGGGAATAATTCATTTTTTATTTGGGAATAGTTATTTTTTATGTTTAGAAATAATATAAATAACTAAATAAGAGACAACAACAAAAGAAGGAGATGAGCTGGGAAGCACGTGTGAAGGAGAGAGAAGCACGTGCAACAAAGACAGTGCAGGGTTGACCGGAGACCGTAGGGTCGCGAGAAGTGGGAGACACGGTGTCCCCTACATACGCCTTTTACGACATCGTTTTAAGCCTTTAAGAAAAAACGACTACTTACAGTATTTGAATTGAGTTAATAACTCCAAAAGCCTAGACTCATGCCAATTACTAGAATATAATTGATTATAGTAAAATCCAAAATAAAACGTATCATACATGATTTGGAGTTGGAAAAAAAGATTATATCACCATTAAAAATAATAATAAATAAATATTAATAATGGACAACTGATCTCTCTGTGATTGTTGAGTACCTAGATTTTAAACATTCATGTCCTCACTGTTCATTAAGATTCTTTGACCTCTTGACTCATCCAATCTTTGGTTGTAAGTCTTCATTTTATATTGGCAATCAATAAACTAAATAGTTTTGTAATGTTTGGATTTAACTGGCGGACTTTATTAATTTATGACTGCTGGACTTATGATCGAATATAAACTTCATGGACTTCTTTTTAAACAACTTGGCAATGAATAGATAACACATTAACACATGAATTTTCATTTACTATTTAAGTTTTATTATAATTTACAATGTTAAATTTTTGATATTGTTTTGTTAAGGAAAATCAGTTTTCTTGAGAAACAAGTCAATCATTCTGCTAGAAAACAAGTCAATCATTCTGCTAGTTTGTAGCTCAAATGACTATATATATTTTATTTAAAATGAATTGGTGAGTTGATATATAAAACATATACATACGGACATGGGAGCTCTACTAATTTTAGTGCCTCTCCTCCCCAATTATTCGTTTGGTCTATACCATGAATTTTTTAAAGAGTTGACGTTTAGTATTGCAAACACAGTTATAGTTTTACTTTTATAACTTTAAATTAAAACTAGGATTTAACCCGCCTACGGGCGGGTTGAGATATATAAATTATTCAATTCCTTTAATATTTGTTTAAACTAAATGCAATGACATATGAAAGTTTGCCTCTTAAACTGAAATTTGCATAATATTGCATTAGAGATATAATCTAGAAACTTTAGTAGATTTTTCAAAAGTTAGAGATGGTACATTCTCGTCTATAGAGTTTAATAGTAAATGTCGTACACAGTTTTATGTAATTTTAGGAAGTATGTATTTTAGAAACTTTAGTAGATTTTTCAAAAGTTAGAGATGGTACATTCTCGTCTATAGAGTTTAAGAGTAAATGTCGTATACAGTTTTATATAATTTTGGGAAGTATGTATTTAACTGAGTGGGAAAATCTTCATCTTAGATCATTAGTGACACAATTATGATCGGACATGAGATACAACATGAATAATACTAATTTACATGGTTTTAAAAAGCTAAGATAGACTGCATACCATTTCACAAGAGTTTCCGGTATAACTTTACGACTCCCAAATTCATTTAAACCAACTAACCAATGTAGACGGACAGGTATAAAACATAAAGAATGGAGGGTAAGGAACATTTGAAATGCATGGGTTTTATTAGGTATTCGGTCATTAAACCATTGGCAAATCTATGAGAGTCAAATAGAAGAACAATCTGGAGTTAAAGCATCAAATCAAAATGTCACTAACCGGTATTTGATTGCCATTTCACCTACCCTCATGCGATGTCACTGCACAAATTATAAACTGTCATCTAGGATAAGGAAGTTAGATAGAAAATATGGGAACATTATACATAACATATTGACACCTTCAACACATGAGCTACCTTCAATAAAATAAAGATATATGGTACGGTGGACATGAGCCATAGTTTGTAGATCATTGGTGGAGCATGGTAAGGCTTTTGAATCGACTTCATCTCTCTCAGTCTCAGTTTGGCTGCGGTTCCAAAATTGGAAGCACGAATATGCTATAGCAACAGTACTCTAACACAAATCCCAAAGCTTAATCAAGTAATGTCTAATTTTTTTTATTCACATAAAATGAAAAAGGAGATATATAACATACGTACCAGGAGAGTTTAATCAAAAAGATGTAGAATAGAACACAAATCGCACCTCCTATAGTGCTGGAAAAGCTGAGAGGCGGCTGGATTATCACCCATTATATCCGTACCAAAAACTTAGATCAAGAGATGATGGAGAGGCCCGTTGGATTTCTCTAAAGAAACAGAGAAGAAAAAGGGAACAATGTAAGAGAGCATGAGAAAAGGTTTAAGAGCTAATTATATTTGTGACTGAACATACGACTAAACTGGCTCGGGGAACATAAATCAACCTCGTACTCAAGTGAAAGGTGAGATTGAGCCCTTTGGCCTAGGGTTTGGAGCTTCCATCTGTAGCAAGACCATGTTTTTCTTCTTCCTGCAGCCATCTACGCCAAGCTCCCATACCTGAAACAAAAGATACCCAAAACCAAACTTGAGAGCTCTAGTGTAGAAATGTTTGCTATATTTAATCAAACTTTCATAATAATTTTATCCCCCAAAGATCCATAAATCAATAAAGGTTCATATTACGAATCTGCTCTCAGCAAACAAAAAACCACTGTGATTTTAGGTGTATGTCAAGCAGCGTGAAACATAAGATAAATATTTCTAAGCGAAACAGAATTAATAATTTATTTTTTAGAAAGATCATCGCATTGTCAAAATGTTTCTTTGAATTTAGAAAGTTGGAAGATGATGTCATGGAATTCATTTTGCATAAACTCTGTACTCTTCTTCCTTTTTCACAAGAACTGAGTGATACCAAACTATCTCAGAAATACATATACATATCCTTCCTATTAAAAATATTTAATTTTTGGAAAAGTACTTGTATACGACTTAATTTATTAGAAATGTGTGTGAGGTTATAATCTTTAATAGACACTTAAATATATCTACTAACATGAAAAGCAAGTAAATCAAAGGATCCGATATAAGAAGATTACAATGTCTCTATAAATCATGTTCATTACCCAATGACCAAAGAAGCTGACTTTTTGTATTCACTCTGAGAATGTTTACATGATCATGGTCTATTAGATATACGTAAGTGTCATAGTTGACGCTTTACCTTTCCTAAGGTTATGTTGCCATGAACAATAAGTTGAGAAGCATAATTCTGGGGCGAAACTGGTCACCTCTCCCTCGCCATGTTTGAAGCTGTTCATCCTCTTTTGTGGATTCATTCCAAGTTCCAACACTTCCCTTAAATTT